ACCTTTTTATTGTCTTCAATGTCTGCACAACATATAATCTCAGGGAGCTTTTATTGCTACTACTGCTAAATGTTTAATTTTATAAACTTTAAACTTTCCTTTAGCATCAGCCTTTCTAAAAGACAATCTGATTGGAGCTGCGAAAATTAGCTCTATGCCAGCTGCTTAAATAATGCTCACGCATAATTCGCCAAGATGGTGATCGCTTCCAGCGTTCGCATAAAAATTACTTCTTGAGGAGATTGTGGTATGAAATTCCTAGACATTTCCTGATGACTGAATTATTTTAATTCCCTGACTTTTTTAGTCAATTTTTGAATTCCTTGACTTTTCCTCTTTTTACAGGTTTCCCAGGTAGCGTAGCAGCCCTTCATAATAGTACTTACTGTATTTTCTTAAATGAGCTTCAATTAACGTGGTTATCTTACAAAGGTGATATTTAATGCTTATTTATGTTCCTAGAAATATTAACTTCTTCCAAAGATGGGCAAAAAATTCACTGCAATTTTTTTAATGAAAATCACATATTTATGACTAATTGTTCAAGATATATATACTGTCAAAAGTCTTTAATCCGGAATGATCTATGATCCGGACCTCAAAGCTACAAACTTTCTGCGCATGCGCATAAAACGTTTATGCATGTGCGTTTAATGTATAACGGACAGTATAAGCTAAGATAAAATTGTCTAATTATCTATTTCAGTTAATGTTGCAGATTGCATTGTTCCTTAATCTTCTAATTAGATCTGGCTTATTATTTTTTGCAAACTGTTAGAGCAATTTTATAAAAGTAAGCTTGAACTTTCGATTATGTCAAAAAGGATTTCCATTTCTGGAGCTGCCAAAAGATCTACAAAGCGAAAGCATGCTTCGATGTCCGTCAAACAAAAAGTGAATTTGCTGCAAAAAATGGATGAAGGCATATCCTTTGTTTCTCTAACCATTCCAAAATTAGTTTATCAATTTCACGCTGCTCTGCGGGTAAGGGAGGGACGTCGCGGTGCGCAATGAACTCGAAGTTGATCTGTCAGCACTATCCTTATCGTCAGGGCAGATGTTTTTATTTTATTTGGCTTATAATTCCTTACTAATTATAGTATTTCATCTCGATGTACTGCATCTTTGATATGATTTAAATAAAATTCCTCGTCATTATAAATATCACGAAAACACATAAAATATTTTTCTGGTTGCAATTTTCTAATTTTGACTATGCGTAATGTATGCTTTACGCATGCGCACATTGAAAGAAATGTTTAATAAAGTAAACAAATAAACATTAAGCTTTTTTTTTTTTTTTTTTTTTTTTTTTTTTGAAAATTTTGATATTGTTTAGATCATAGTTGCTCTTTATTTCATAAATTACATCTTCATAATTTTAATTTTATAATTTCTGCATGCCATCTTACCAGATTTAAACTGATGATCTATAATCCGGAATCACCAAAGTCCCGACGAGTCTGGATTAAAGACTTTTGACTGTATATATAAAAATAATAGCAGTCCTACATGTACATAATAATAAATAAATATAAACCTATAGGAAGCAAACCTGTTGCCCAAACTTTTTTTAATATTCAGATAGATTGTGATCATGTTATCTCGGGTATTCGTTGAAATTAGTTGAATTTCTGTTGAAAAAAATGCTTACTTCAATGCATGTTTTATATAATTTCTAATGTTTACATTTTTGAGCATGTATATAAATTTTGAGCATAAATATTCTTGATAAAAACCTAACTGAGGGAAGATGAGTACATCATGATCAGTTCTACACAATTTTAATTTAAAATTTATAATGCACTGAAGTGCCATTAATTTACATGCACTGAAGTGCCATTAAGTTATGATCAACAGTTTAATATGAAGCAGGACCTCCTTTTACTCTGAAATCTCCCAACACCCAATGAGGCATCTACTCGACAACATGCTGATAGGTAGTCAGAGATATCTGGTACGTGGCACTTATGAACTGGTCCTGTGATTCTTGCACATTGCAAGGTAGTAACATGGCAGTATGAATCCAGTTTTCTAGTGGAATCACAAAAATTTTGTTGATATCATGTCAGATGAATTTAGAGGCTAACATATGACTTGAAATTCAGCAAAATGTTCCTTAAACCACTCCCTGACGATTTGGCTCTTTTGGTGCATTGTCTTGTTGATAAATGCCATCACCCATTGGGAACACTGTTGCTGCGAAGGGATGCGCCTGGTCTGCAATAATGTTTACACAGCACGCAGATGTCAAGTGTTATTCTATGGAATTTTTTGTTCTAATGTGCTCCATGAAAATATTGCCCACACCATAATACTGCTGCCACCACCTTGTGTCTGGCCAACTAAGAACCCAGGTGCCATTGGAAATCAGTATATTTGAACTTGCCCATGAATATGATTGCCAAGAAAACATGGTTTGTTGGACTAGGCGACTTTCTTCCATTCTTTTGTGGTCTAGTGTGCATATTCTTTGGCCTATTGCAGGTGCTATTGGTGATGATGTGCAGTCAGCGTGGGGTCACAATTCGGGTGTTGGCTGCGCAACAGTGAAGTGCAGTAGTATACACTGCACTTTGTGTTTAGATGCACTGTTTAGGTTGCCACTGTTGTAGCTGCTGGTGATTTGGTCGTTGTACTCTTACAGTGATGGGGAACAATGCGTAACAGTCATTGCTGTTTTTTGGTATTAGTACACAGTGGTCAACAAACTGCTGCCCGGCAACTTGTCATTTCACCAAGTGTACACGACTTTCGATGAGTACTCACAATGGTTGCACATGAGCACCAAATACACCATTTCTTATATCGATGTTCCTAGGTGCCGGGCAATAATGGTTTGACTTTTATCAAAAAATGTTCAATCAGCTGCTGTTTCCATTATATCACTAAATATTGTGTGTGTGAAAAAACAGTGCATGGGCTTTTATGTACACCAGCATCAGCCTGTGTCTACTGTGGTTTTATCTTCGGTTGAGCACATTGCATTTGGCTAGGGGTGGTCATAATGTAATGGCTCTTTGGTGAGGGGTGGTCATAATGTAATTTCTCTTTGGTGAGGGGTGGTCATAATGTAATGGCTCTTTGGTGAGGGGTGGTCATAATGTAATGGCTTTTTAGTGCATATGATAGTAGCAATGTATGAAATGCCAGCATAGAATGCCTGGAATTTTTAGGCAAAGTATGAAATTTGAATATTAAAGACTTAGGCATTGTATATAATATCTAGGCATTGTATAGAATGACAAATGCTGTTTAGTTAACAAATGATAAAAAAGGTCATGATAAGGTTATTTAAAAAAAATTCATTCTTCAAAAATTCAAATGTTAAAAAATAACGAAAGACTGCCATTTATTGAAAATATGTTTAAAAATATAATTGAGATGATTTTAGAACACCATAATAAATTTGTATTCTCTATCTGGCTGATATGGAAATCAATAAAATCTATCTGCCACTTTAATTAAATACAGAAAAACCCATAGGCTCCACAACAATACCTTTTTTTGTACCTTTCTATTTTTTCTTGCAGGGTCTACAAACGTGAATGTACAGTTCAGTATATATGTAACGTTTTTGTATTTGGTTCAAAGTTCTTTCAGTATTCAGTCATGTCGTCCATGTCCATTAGCCAAAGGAGTTTCATGAAGTACGTGAAATAACTCAGTGTCTGTAATGCATACTGTATAGTGCTGATGCCTTCTTTTACAGGATAAATGATTTTACTTTTGTTTTTCACAAACATCACACCATAGCAATTCAGGAACCATTAGTCGCATGGTTCCTTCTTAGTAATCATTTTGGCTATGTTTTTTACATCATTTATTAACTTCTGGTAAGTCATTTTAGTTATTCAAAGTGAATCAGAGATGTATTTCATACTGTGCTGGTTTGTCATTTGGCATTCTACACAGTACATAGGTATTGCATGAAATGTTTATTCATTTCATACATTGCTGACTACTTTTCAGCACTCTATAAAACGTGGATTTCATACTTTGCCGGTAACATATATATCAAATAGATTTGTGAATATCTGTGTGCATGTAAGTAGTGTTATCAAAATCAAGTAAAGAATTTCATGAAAGCAGTTTCAATATGTAGGTCTTAAAATACGAATTTAGTTTTTTTAATATGATTCAGTTTAGAATGAGAAATTTAGTTGGTAATATGCTCATAATACTTTAATAATGAATTAGTATTCCTTTAAGTCACTGTTCAATTGTTGTATGATTATCCTAGGTCTTGACAACTTGTATCGATACTTAAATAATTAGTTAATATGCTTTAAAAGAATTGTTTTTTGATTTCATATGCATATGTTTACTTAACAATACATAAACTGGTTCATATTTGAAAAGAAGATTGTAGTATTTCATTTTTAAATAAAGTAAAGACTCAAAAGGTATATCTGCATTCATGCATTCCGTGTTTATACAGTAAACTACTTTTCATTGATTTCCACTATATTGTTAGGCACTTCAGTTTCACCAGAAGATTACCATAGCTCTATCTAAAATGCTATAGGTGCAAATTTTCCATAGGTAATTGTTCCAATTTATTGCTATTTTGTTAGCCACGCGCGCTATACTTCTCCTCATTCAATAGCTATTAATTCTCCCAACCGCTATAAGTGAACTGGAAGTGTAATCCCAAATATGAATGTGCAGCCATCTTTTTTCCCCAAAATGTAAGGAAAAAATACAGCAATAACAGATAATTGGTATTCTTATTCATAAAAACAAAAGGTGACTTATCAAGAATCAATCAGGGTTATATCAAACAAAAGTGCAGATGTTATAAGTGTATTATGATGCTATATTTATTCATAATAAACACTAAGTCATGCTCCTTGGTGACAGTTTTATGGTTAACAGAATAATATATAAGTACCAAAAATGTATAATCAATTTTTGTGAAAAGATTAGCCTTTGACACTAAACTTCGTTCTAATTTAAAATTAATTTGTTTAAATAAAAATTTATAATTGTATTTTCAGGCTGTAAAATTGGAAAGCATTCATAATGGTCGCACTAGATACCTTGTAGTTGTGTCCCACACAGGAAAGTTTCAGACTGAAGAAAGTTGTCTACTGGGTATTGATTGTAACAAAGAGACAACAATCGGCCTTGTTCTTCCTGTATGGGCTGATACTAGAATAACATTGGATGGAGATGGGTAAGACAAATATTTTTTAAATCATTATATATTTTTAACGTATTACTTGCAGAATAAAAAATAATAATATATTATACTGCTGTAAGTTAATAATGCTTTAATAGGGAATATGGTTACGTGAAAACTTTGCTCTTATCCTGTTTCGCACAGATTTTGTGGATCAGAGAGCTAGTGTAATTTTCCTTCCTTCATCTTCTCCTGAAAACATTTTATTCACTATCGCCTTTTGTTAGTGTTTCTGAAGTTGTTATAGTTCTTTCTTGTTGAGTTTATTTTTTTATATTTCTTTAATAACTTGTCCATATCTTCATTTCTAACTCCTCAGTCCGTGGTTTTGCCTAAAAGTATGTTATCAAGAGATAACAAAAATGTGGTGAGTCCCTTACTACCAGGTTTTGTTCAAGAGATTTACGCAATGGAAAACATTACAATAAAATCCCTGAGTGTTAATTATGTGGCATAGGTTACCTCAAAATATGTTTTGTCCTGGTCTTCATCTTTTTGTTCTGAATGCTTGTTTGTTAATAAAATTTCTCATGAAGTAAGATGTTTGTGATCCAAGGCTCTACAGCACTACGTAAGCTATGACATAACTATAAATATTTTTAATTTATTAAAAAGTGGGAAACATAAGCTAATGCCATTCCATGGTTTAAATTGTATCATTTATTTCTTTGTAATGCAAGAAATCTTGTTCCTTTTTTTGGAACATTGTCTAGATGAAAAGCAGTTATCCTGTAAGCTAAATTTAATACAGTGTAGTTTACTTTAAAAATAAATAAATGAATGAAATATGTAAATTACCTCTGTGTAAAGTGTGTATATTCAAATAGTTTATCTAAATTAATTATAAATTGAAGAATAAAGCAAATTTTTTTTATGCTTTCAATACATAAATTCTAAATCTGTACTATGTGCGACACATTAAAATATATCAAAATGCATAGTAATTAAGTAGTAACTGGTTACAATGAAAGTTTTCTGAAAAAAAAAAAAAAAAAAAAAAGGTTCTTAATAATGTTAGGAAAAAAACCTATCAAAACAGTACCTTTAGGGCAGGTAGTAATCACCACCCAAATCTATGATTTTCTGCCAATGTTTTGGTATTTTTTCAAAGCCTTCGGCCGAGAAACTTGGTAGATGCAAATCCAGAAACAGATCGTCATTTTAGACGTCCTGTGCAGATTGAAAGATAGCACCAACAAGATGTAGCTGCAGGTGTGAAAAAAAGTAGAAGTCCGAAGGAACAATTTCGGGCTATATTGTGGGTGTGGCAAAAGATCTCATTCGAGTCCATACAGAGTCCATCCAGTGATTGCATACACATGTGGTCTTGCATGCTCTTAATGGAACATTATCTTTTTCGACCTTTTACCTTCAGTTTGATGTTTTTCCTTGATAGCAGTGTTAACATGGACTAGCATCTCGCTGTACACCTTACTGTCGAAGGTTCCTCCCCCCAGATACACTCTGTGGATAACACCATGGCAATCCCACCAGATACAAAGCATGACCTGTTTGTTGGTCAAATGCAGAAAATTGTTTCTGTGACACATGAGAAAAATCCGATGAAGTTAGCCTGTCCACCAGGTTTCAAACTACCACTGCTCTCAATGTTATCCACTCGGCTGTTAATGAATACTAATTATGAAAGACGGTAATAATGTTTCTCAGTCTGAAAGCTTTTTGTTCATTTTGTAGAAGGTTTCTCATTTTATTCTAATGCAGAATCTTTGGGTGAAATTTTCATTACATGATGTATTGTTATTCCTTCATATAAAAACTGATTTGACAACTTCTTTTCCTGGCAGAATAACTGTATAAAAAGGACACTCTTTATAATTGTGATTTTTTAACTCACGAGGGCGCACTTCTGTAAAATGGACCCATCTGATTAAAGAAACGTTTAAAGAAAGTTCCTATTTTCCCCCAAGCGGTTGTGATGCAGTGTTAGCCTCCTCAAAAGCCATCGTCTTTTCCAAAGTTTTTCACTGGGAATTTGATTCTAATTTTTGTTTTGACAGAATCTGGTCTTTCAGATCCAGCATGCCTATTCGCATTCTGTAACGTAGTTCATTTGTGGTAACAGAGAAAACTGCAACTATGTCACATAATTTATCCTATAAGGAAGAAATGTTATGTTTGCAAAAATTATTAGATGTATGAAGTGTTGAAGTCTCCATTGAAGAAAGTTATAATGAATTTTTTAGTTCTCATTATACTGATTTAGAAATTGAGATACATTCTGAAAACAAAAATGATAATAACATTTATTGCTTTATTGGATAACTGCTAGAAATATTACACTGTCAGTGAGCTCATAACAGTTGAGGAAAAACGTGAAGCTTTCTGAGGAAGATGTTCTTTCAGGCAGTATATTCCTAATAAACCTGAAAAATAATTTCTGAATAGGGAATAATGTAATGAATTTCTAATAAATTCTTTATTAACATAATACATTTTTCTATTCCTTTAAAAATTTTTGTTTCATAAAAAATATTATAGAAATTAAAATTTTAATTTTCATAATTTGCATATTTTTAAAGTTTATCATAATATTTTGGTATAAATGTAACACTTTTACCTGAAGAGTAACAGTTTTTTCTTCAAAAAACACGAGCTGGGTGTTTTGGACCCAGGGGCATGTGCTCCTTTTACTCAAAAGAGCGTGCGCGCTACCAGGTTAAGCAAATTTAATAAATTAAAATAGTTCAACAATTGTATACCATTGTTGTATAAGGGTTAAAAATGGCTTTATGACAAATAGGTGGGTATCTGAGAGTAAATGTACATTTAGTTATGTAATTAACATTTATTTATTCTTTTACAATAGTTTGCACTAATGTTGTGTTTACTATATCTAACATGGGCCTTATAAGAGATAGACTAACCCAGAAGGTGGGGCACGCGTCACCGACATGTTGGCAAGAAAGAGTAGGGACGATCTGGTTTACTTTAACACTGAAACCTATGGCGTTTGTATCACATAACTCTTTTTAATTATTAAATGTGATACGTTGTATAGTGATGAAATTATGAAAGCCACAGTTTTTTCCAAATAGGATTTAATATATCTCATTAAAGCAGTTTTTACTGCATTTCACGCATTTTTTTCAAGCGTAATTCTTGTACAAACATCTTTACTTTGGTAAAACGGTAAAAACTCTAGGCACAAAATTTATTAACTTAATTTTGCGTATAAATAACGTAAAATTAAATAAGATTGATAGTACTTGATGCTTTGAAATAAGTAAGGTAAAATTAAACAAGATCTGATAATTTTTTTTTAATTTAGCAGTGATTTTCAAAACTATAATAACATTACAAAACAATCATTTATTTGATTGTATCATCATTAACTTATTGACATTAAAGTCGAATATTTATTTTAGAAATTTATAAAATTCGTAGTATAAAATTTTCTGTGTGTAATGGGGGGGGGGGGGGAAGGTAAAATAAAATCTAGCAGCACTCAGATTTTATATTACGCACAAAAGGAACCTTTTTTAACGTTTTGTGCATTACCTATATTTATTGAATATCATATTCTTCACCCGTAAACTGCATATATTTGAAAACAGCATATCTTTAGAATTTCCACACTGGAGATAAAACTGTTATTTTCCGTACAGTGTTACCATTGCTCGCTTTGAACTCATTGAGCTTGTTAATCAAAAATTCATTTAAGTTTTACAAAATCTGAAATAGATTAAAATAAATTCGAAATTCGGCCGTCCAGATGCCCATGATCGGGTGGAAAATTACATTATTTAAAATTTGATGGCTCTAGATACCGCCGTTTATGTCACAGTGCGAGAAACACACATATATTCATGCAGGTTCTTCATTATTTAATTTCTTTAAATATAATACGGGGCGATAGTATTTGGTAACAACAACTTGCAAGGTAACACGGACATTTATAGTAAAACAGCGCAAAATGCCGCTATGGGCTAATAAATTAAATTAACAGTAAATAAAAAAAAATCTTATGCAGAAATAAAAATAAATTTAAAAAATAATCACTATAAAATACAAGCAAAACTAATTATTACGGTTAAATACAATTTTAATATCAGAATTAAATGTATAAAAATTTTTAAGGAGTCAAAAAAAAATTTTTAAGGAGTCACCATGATGTATTACGAAATAAAATTCCTTCATAGAAATTGTGATATAATACTCATCTATAATTTTAAAAAAGCAACACAATTTAGAATTTAAAAAAAAACTTTCAAAAATTCGTTTTTAAATATTTTAGTATTTTTTATTTATTTACACCAATAAAAAGCATAAATAAAAAATTGCAAGAGAAAATTGCTTGTTTGAAATTTTCTATTAGTTCAGATTTAAAATATTATTTTCTAAAAGAAGTAGTTACAAATTTCCTTACAGCATAGGAAAAGCTAAAAAAATATCCAGCCCTGAAAGCATGCAATAGCTTTATAATTATTTGGAACGTTAATTATGCTTGATAAATATGCTAAATTTTTAAAAATCAATCTCAATTTCAAAAATAAAAATATGTAGAAATTCTAATTTGTGAAATGAGGCGCAACAACCAGCTTTTTCTTGACAATTATACACACTGCAATAGGCAACCAATGTTAAATTTCTGCAAGTCGTCCCTACTCCTCCGGATGTGATCAAGGTGACAGCCGGGAACGCCTCAGACAAGGGAGAAAACCCATTTGGGTTAGTCTATTTCTTATAAGGTCCATGATATAAACAAATATATGTGTTCTCGATGTTTTGAGGTACTTTTTATTTTTATTTTTTCGATATAGGTATCTGAACGTAGAACAATATACACAAATGCTAATTCGTTAGTGTTGAGTAACATAATGGCTCTTATTGGGTCATTTCACATTTCATATAAACAAATGAACATTTTATCGATGCTCTGGAATACTTTTTTAATTTATTAATTTTTTTTAATCCCCGTATAAGTGGAGTAGATGTTCTATCATTAGAGACTTTTTTATTACTCTTAGATTTTTCCCGCATTGAGACGAATATTTTGTATGGCTTAGCAAAAGTTGTCTTCTTCTTCTTTTTTTTTTTTTTAAATGTTTTTTTGCTGGTGTTCTATTTTTGTAATGGCAAAACGAAATTGCTATCTGACCGTAGAAGATACACAAATGTTAAATGTGTCAAATTTGCTGATATTCTATTCCTGTGACATTTGCAACATTTGCTGCGTACACCCATGTTTCAAAGAATATCATAAACTGTCTGTTTTTTGAAATATTGCTTCCTTTTCATTGTTTTCACATTGAATTTTTATGAAAGACAGTTTAAATATTTTTTAATTTTAATTATGTGTTGTGTTAGATAAAATCTGCGATTTTTTGGATATTTTTCCATGTATATTTAATTGTGAGATAAAGGAAAAATTATATTATTCTAGAATGAATATTTTATAAAATTTTTAAGGAAAATATAACAAAGGTTTAAAATTAATTCTGACAACTACCTGAATGTTCTTCTCTTAATGTACCAAAAATTGGAACAATTGGATGACGAATTTAATTTATCCGAATTTTTTTCCAAAGTTAGGCTTAGTAGCACGAATTGCCCATCCCCACAAGACGAGGTATCCGGTTAACGGGGGCATCCCAAGAGAACGCTTTGGTAACAGAGGTGCCTGTCATGAACGGGTTAAACAGCAAGTCTATTATGCTTGGTTTAAGGTTGCTTCCTACGGACCAGTGCAATGTGTTAATGTGTTAATAAATTTTTGATGAAATGTTAAATTAACAAAACATCTTATTTCTAATATAAAAGAAACAACTGAAGTATTCTAATTTCAGGTTATATTTTGTGATTCTGCATATGACACCATGTATGTGCAAAAATATTTCAAAATATAGTATTATAAAGCTTAAAATTGACAGATTTTCAGAATTTATAAAAGATATTCATATTATGCAGTGTAATCTGATGTTTTTGCCAATATATATATATATATGTTAAATTGTTATTTATGAATGTATATAAAATTTTGATTAAAATATGCAATGGTTAACTATGAAAATATCTGATTGTAATAAACGTTTTCTATCAAAAAATGTTCTTAATAAAGTTAGGAAGAAATATATGAAAGCAGTACTTTACTGCGGGTAGTAATCACCACCCAAATTTATGATTTTCTGCAAACATTTTCATAGTTTTTCAAAGGCTTCAGCCCAAAAACTTGGTGGACACAAATCCAAAAACAGATCAATTTCATTTCAGGCGTCTTGTGCAGAATGGAACATAGCACCAGCAACATGTAACTGCAGGTGTGAAAAAAGGTAGAAGTCCAAAGGAACGATGTCGGGGCTATATGGTGGATGTGACAAAAGATACCATTTGAGTTCGTATAGAGTCCAGACAGTAAATGCAGACATGTGTGGTCTTGCATTATCTTGATGGAATATAACCTTTTTGTACCAGAACTCAGTTCAACATTTATCTTTTATAGCAACATCAGCACAGACTAACATATCGCTATACAAAACTGGAAGTAAATGATGGTTCTAATCAGGCAGTGTGATAGTTTCAATTCAGACACTTTATACTTAGTGATATGTTTTTACAAATTTCACAGCATAATGTTCTAAAGCAAGTCTCTTTCTTTCAAGTGTCAAAAATCATTTGACAAAATGTGATTAAACACGCCAATGTGAACTGTTTGCGCAGACCATATTTATGGTGGCTGGAAACTTTTGTTAAATCCCAGTATTAAAATTCATATGTTATCTGAGTTTAGTTAATTATCTACTGGCAGCTTTACTTTTTGATTTCAGAAACCAGTAAGCGGTGAAAATGAATGAAAGTTTATTCCATGAGTGTATTAATTTATGAGCTTGGACAGACTTGCAAACTTTGTACAACAAACTTGGAACTGTATGCTAAATGAGTTGTAATTGTATTTTAGTATTTGGTAGATCTTTGTGTGGGAGATAGCAGGAAAAACAGCACTGAATTTTAACATTTTAGAATGTTTTTTTAATCGTAGGTGAGAAAGGTTTGCAGAATAAATTTGCCACCTTATTTATTTATTTATTATAATTTGGTTTAAAATTTCAAATCTTGTAACTCAGATTTTCATCAACCATATATTGCTATACATTATAAATATCAGTATCTTGCCTGATAGTTGAATGTTTCCCCCACCCCCTCTGCATTATCTCTGTATGTAATTTTTACTTAAGGAACAAGCATTATTTCTTTGTTCTTAGCATATATGATGTGATCTTTAAAATAAGTTATTTTCATGCATACTTGTAATTAAAAAATGTGTGTGTATAAATTTAGGTGTACTTTTATATGTTATCTATTTTTCTTATTATAGAGGCTTCAGCATAACTTCAAATGGAAGGCATCACATTTTTAAACCTGTTTCTGTACAAGCCATGTGGTAGGTACTATAGTTTCATTATTATAAATAAGCATTGGCATGATTTTAGGTGCTCTGAGTATCTTAAAACATTATGACATGCAGGTCATTTTCATCTGAATTAAGTCGTTAATTTTGTAAAGTGAATAAAACTTCCAATCTTTAAGTGCTTATTGATGATATTCCATCTATCACTGAATAATGATGTGAACCTTAATAAAATTCTGCTGTTCCTTGTTTGAAATTCCTCTGTTTATGCTAGAAGGGCTATCAAAAAGCAGAGATATATCATCAAGAAAAATTCAGTTGCTTCATAAATATTCTAGTATTTTTAAATGTGATGATTTTGCTAGGACTGCGTTAGAAATGTGATTTAATTGTTCATTTAATTTCTGGATGATTTTCCCCCCTTTGAAAGCTGCTTTAATTGGGCAGCAAGGTAATTCTGCATGTAGATATGACTTTAATGAAATTATGTAGACCTGGCTTTGATCAGTACTACTCAAATGTAATAATGTGAAGTGGTTTACAAGAACACTCATAAATTCTGTAAAATAGCAGAATTGTGAATTTGTGTATTTGTTTTAAGCTAGGGAAATTGCCTAAAAAGACATATAAAATGTTTGTGTTAGCATTTGACTAGAATGTAGTGACCTGCATTGTGAATTTGACTGGTATTTATATTGTGCAATTAAAGCGGTATATTAAGGTATAAAAGTAAAAGTGAAATCTGGCAAAATGTATGTCTAGATTGATGCTCATTTCAGGAAGAAATATTTGAATTTACTTTCTTTATCTGGACATACAGAACATTTATACAGAACATTAATATATGTTGTGTGGTATTTAAGAAGGGAGAAGCGGTAATGCTGTGTTAGATTTAATGCATTAAGTGGCATTTTTTATCTGAATACACACAACATATATTAGCCTCACCTGCCACTTGTATTAGTTTGGGTACCTGGGACATGCATTGATAAGATTGGGCCACATGTATTCAGAAGGGAGCAGATTCTATGCATAATTGCACAAAGTAATCATTTGAGGTGACCCAATGATACAAAAAACTTTGATGGAGAAAATAGAATTTTTTGTTCCCATGTTTATATATCCTAATTAATAAAATTAATTATAGCCTAAAATGTATGTAAATATAATATTATTTCAAAAGAATAAATTGAATTTAAATACAAATTTAATTAATTCTTTGCACCATTGCTGCAAGGAATGAAATTTAAAGTAATTTAAAAATGTGCAAACATATAAAAGATTTAATTTTCGAACTAATCTACAGTATCATTTAAATTCAGATAGCGTAAGTAAATCAAGTACAATACCAAACCATGAAAATAAATTCACCAATTTAGCAAATTAAAATTAATCTAAATTTTTTTTTAAAAAGGTTTGGTATTGCACTTGATTTACTTATGCTATCTGAATTTAAATGATATTGTAGATTAGTTCGAAAATTAAATCTTTTATATGTTTGCACATTTTTAAATTATTTTAACTTTAAATTTGCTTTTTATGTATATACATGCTTGTTAAAATTTAAATATAATATTATGTACAAATATGTATTATATGGCATTAGGAAAAATGTATGATATGTTAATGAAAGAAAATAATAAAAGCAACCCAAAACAAGTTTTTTGCCTCCCACCAACTTGCATAACTTAAGATAGGTAATGTTTTCTTCCAGTTCAGAAATTGAATTGTGAGAATTCGGAGAATAAGCGTCTGTCAGAATCCCCACAGTCAGTCAGTCCAATAAGCGTCAGCCAAAGTCTATTTTTGCAATGATTTTTACTATTTTTGCAATGATGTCCTTGTCTGTATGCATTTGTGTGGTTTATTTATTTATTTATTTGTCTCTGATAACTTTCATATCAAACTTCCAAAAATTTCCATTTTCCACATGTAAGCTTTCTGCATTCATATAAAGAATTGATTAGATTTTGGGTAAAACTGGATATCCAGAGGTGGTATGTTACTTGAAGCTCAGTTTGCTGTGTTGCCTATATTAAAATGTAGTTTAGCACTTTTCAATTTTAGTATTTAAGACTTTTATATCAATGAGAATATTTAGTTTTGGCTAAATTTGATAAACTGAAAGTGATGCTTTACTTGAAGCTCTTTTTGTGAAATACATATTATGATATGATTCAGAAGTTCTCAAATTTGGTATTTAAAACTTCTATAGCAACACACAGCAACATTTATGTTTGTGGCTGCATGTACCACTGGTGGGTCACCTTTTCTCCAGTTTTATATGGAATTATAAATTTCTTCAGCATCTATATGAATGTAACAGAAACAGGGTTCGTACGGTACTTAAGAGTCCTTAAAAGTCCTTAAGTTTTTTGGAATCGATTTTTGATCCTTAAAAGTCCTTAATTTCGGCCAAAATCGGCAGAAGGTCCTTAATTTTAATCATCTGAAATTTCTGCCTGTTTTTACAACTGCCATTTTGGGTGTGAATTAGCATTTTGCAGGAATATTTTTGGCGATTCACTGACAAATATGGCTGTTTTTTGAATGGGTGCATGAGTTATAATTTGTTTCTATTTGTAATGTAAATAATGGTGGGATACTCGAGTTTCTGAGCAAGAAGTGAAGCATAAGCATTTCAAAATTATTTCATTTTTTGTAATGAAGAGCTCTCGAACAACTTTTCCGCTTTTGGGGTGTGAATTCTTTTATTAAACGGTTCTAAACTTGGCGATTATCAACATTTTGGCGATTTTAAAATCGGTTTCTATAGAAAATTTTTAATTCCAAGATCAGGGAATTTTTGGACGATTTTTTTAGAACATTCTAACATTGATAAATTTCATTAAAATAATGGTAATATATTGGAAATATATTTAAGAAATAACATTAAAATAAAACATTTTTATTTTTTACTGTCATTTTATAAAGTTCCATTTTGGCCACATATTATACAATTTTTTGAATCTGAAAAATAAGCAAGGAATAATGCTATAAAGCACAGTTTACGAAACAGTTTTTATCGAAAGCAAAATAGCTATGTAATTAATTAAATATGTCTTTTTAATTTTTTCATGGTAAGAATTTTTCTTGTTTCTAAGAATGATCAGAATTCTCAGAATATGCTAGTTTTCTCTATAAAATTAATTTCACACTTTTTCCCTCCTATTTTTTCTAAAAACTTTTCTGGATTTTTGCTGTTACAGAATTGGTAGGGGTAATTTTTCTTTAGGATTTTAAACATTGAAGCTTGGAAAGTTTAGAAAGATTTCAAGGCAAATTTATAGACCCGCGATTCTAAAAGATTCCAGAAAAATGAGATAAAATGAAAAATGTCTCCATGGTAGTAACACGCAGTTTGTAACATTTTGGGGAACATCTGGAAGAACAATGAAAACATAATACTAGTTGAATGTTTTACTTTTGATTCTAGAATCGCTTTCTTAACATTTTTATCTTTCCTTTATTTGCTCTACTTTTCACTAGATACAAGCATGAAAAATATCAAAAGTACTTCTAATCTTATCATATGGACAGGTATTATAGAAAGGAATTTTTTTATTTATAAAGAAACTGACAATTTAAAAGATTCATCTAATATGTGTTAATGCATCATACACAGAGCTGCCACTAGGCATTTTGCCACCTAATGCAGTTTCTGTGGATCGTAAATTCTGCTTTCATTGCCTGCTCTAAATTCTAAAAGTTTTGCCATTTCTAGATTTTGTTGCTCAGTGTGTCCCTAAATTCTAAAAATTATGCCACATTAGCTCTGTGACCAGGCCTTATCATATGTACTTCATATTTCTTCTGAATGTTCGTATTACTAAAGAAATAAAATTAGCAGCATTTTCCATATATTTCTTTTAGAATAACAGAAGTCTTTAATTAAATCCCAAAAATTTTAAGTGAAAAGGAAACGTGTTGAAAAAAGAAACTAACTATGTAAAGAGGAAGAAAATTATTCTTCAAAGATATGTACTGTTATTTATTATGTAAATTACCCAGTAGTTTACAGTTTCAGCCTTTACTATAATTTTCCCATTTCTATTTCCTCATCAGAATGCAAATCACGTAGACAGTTTTTAACTGAGTTTTTTGGAGTGCAAGACAAGTGTATCTGAACTCCACTTGCACCCTGCATTAGTTCCTGTCAGCACTGATGATTTGTAATTATTAATCTTTCCATTACTGCTGCTGACATTTGAGTTTATTATTACAATAGAGTTACTGAACCAGATTAAATTGAAATTAAATTGTATAGTTTTTGACCACAAGTTCATATTTTTAGTTTGAATTTCACTCTTTTTGTTTAATTATATCACCACAAACTGTATTTTATTTTGTTAGCATAAGAACAAGCCTATATGTTCCAAGCTGTTTTTTGAATAAGAAGCTTATTTAAACCTTTATTTAAATTTATTATCTGATTTATAGTTACTTTCAGACATAGTGATAATTTGTTTCACGTCTGTCGGGGGGAGGGTGGTTGGACTATTTAACTTTTACCAGATCAAGTAAACCCTTATAGCTAGTACTTTGTGGAGAGGTTGGCACTTAGGAGATAAAACACGCAGAAACTAATGATAACATTGTTTTGCATATTGAGACGAATTTTTAAATGTTAGAAAACATGCTTAAGGAGAAGGAAATCGATATAAATTAGCCAAAATGTCTGGTCAGGCCTTCAAATTAAAAAGACACATAATTATTTTGTTGAGTTTTATGCTTTGTAGCTTTTAATGTTGTTGCGAAGAACACAGAAAATATATAAATCAAATATACTCAAAACAGTTTATTCAATTGCAGGCTGCCTCTACCCGAATCAAATATATTCAAAATAGTTCATTCAATTGCGGGATGCCTCTACCTGAGGCTGAGTGCATTATGAATAAAGACAAAAAAAATTCTTAATAAGCCATTTTTTATTTTCATAAAACCAGTCTTACGCTTCCAAGTTTAGCTTTCGTTCTGTCTACAAGCAAAACATTCGAAACATTCAGCATGCAGGCTGACGTCACGAACAGCAGTGCC